CTCGTTGAATTAGCGTAATTTTTAGAGTTGCGAGTAGCAAACCATTTTCAAAACAAACATGAAATGTTTTGTTCCAATTTGGGCGATTTGGTCTATACTTGTTTGCTGTGCGCATAACATAGTAATTCTAGGCTAATAAATGGAATAAGAACACGTAACGTTTTCAAAATCGGATATCATGGTTAGTAGAGGCCGGTCTTCGGACCGGGCGAAAGGGGGTGCTCATAGCTGACCTTCCCCGATCGTACCCAAGCTCCCGAGCCGAGACAACTCCGGTGATGACGGACATGTGGCCTTCGGCACCGAGTCAGGGTTTCCTAAATTTCCCCATTAAAAAAATATTTAGGTGGCGACTCTGTATCTGGCAAAGCAGTCCATGTTTGGCACTTCTTTTCAAAAAATCTGTTTCTCAAAACGATTTGCCGGATTTAGACTCTTTGGTTCAAGATTAAGAACCGTGACAACAAAATCGAGTCCGAACTGTAGTAGCGAAGGCCCCCTCCGCGGGGCGCATCTACACTCGCATTGTTTCAATCAATTCCTCATAAAACTTTTTAAGCTGGTTTTCTTTTCTTTTTTTTCCAAGTTCGAGGTATGATGTCATTTGTCCTCATCTAGATATACCTAGTTGAGTCCAACCATAGTATTTGTTACCCCTTTTAACTCCTTTTGCACCTAAAAGCATATGATTATATATATATATTTGATTTATGCTGAGCTAAAAGCTTTCTCTTGTAATCTTTGTTTTATACAGGTTTATGCTAGTCTCTTGAAGCTTGTGCGCTCCATGATTGGTATTATTGAGCTCAACAAATTTTTATTAATATTTGTTAAAGACCATTCATATACTACCTACCAAAATTATGGTTCAAGGGTACAAGGTTTGGGCTTATTTTTTGGATTTTTTTTTTCCTGTTGGAAAAAGAAACAAGAAAGTGACATTGCTGAAATCGTTACCCCACAATACTTCTTAATGTAATTATTGGACCTCGTACCCTTGACTTGCATGTTAAGTATTTCTGGTCGATCATACCTCACTGCAAGTGTTCGTTTCATGTGGCTAGATGGGAAATCATTCTTCATATCGAAGTTCTAACAAGATTTAGTCATTGACAGCTACCTTTACCCTATCTAAAGGTTGGATATCTAACTGCACCACCTGTGGGAAATCCAGTTGCGCCCCACAGTGATTGGAAACGTACACAGTTTATTCTGAATCATGAAGGGATCCAACAGGTAGAAGTTCGTATCTTCTAGTATGAACACTAATCAAAAGGCTACATGTGAATATGTTTCTATTTTGTTTTATTCCTTTAGGTATCTACATTGCTCCTCATACATGGCGAGTTCTACGGGCACCATGTCATCATCACCATCAGAAGCAAGTATATGAAATTTATATTGAGTTGAAGACTACTAAATTCATGAAATAGCTAATTTATATTGAGTTGAAGACTGAAAATAGGGCATAAGCCTCTTTTGACCGTGCCTGGAATTTGTGGTTTAGATATGCTATGTTCTATTTACTCATATTGCTTTCCTAGTGGTTTTATGTGTCTCATGTGTTTGAAACTAGTGCTAGATTCATGAAATAGCTTAATTTAATGAACTTTCACATGAATGACCAATGCTAGATTTCTAAGACTATTTTAGTGACCTAAGGAGACATTTTACCTTGCTTTTTGACAAAGGGTGTTTTTTGATTTGAAAAACTTGATACCACAACTTTTACTCAACATTAGAGTTTACCTGAAGCTGCAATTTGAAGTCATCAAATTGGCACTCCTAGACAGCCCTTTGAACTCTTTATTTATTTTACAGTTGCTGCCATAAGGCCTAAAATGAAATTTTCAATTAGAGGCTTTTCTTATTTTTAAAAGAACATCTATTAATTTTATATATATTATAAATTGTTGTGTAAAATTCATTTTACTTTTTGATTCTGGTAGTTATAATTGAAGAGGTTTATTTATAGGTTTTTGGGCCTTTAGATAATGATTTGTTTGAAGATGAGCAAAGAAAATACTTGTTCATTATCATTACAATCCACCATCATTTATGTATAATAATAATAATAATAATAATAGAAGGGGTGGGGTGTATAGTTGGTGGTTGGATCAAAGAACACTTGTTTCTCTCTAAGAAAGATGGAGAAACCAGTGTAGTGTGGACACAACACAAACAACTCTTCTTCACCGAAGGGCAACCCACCTTATTTAATCCTTTAAAATTTTTGACTTTGTTTTCTTTTCTTTTCTTTTCTTTTTTTTTTTTTTTTTTTTGTTTTTTTCCTTAAAAAATGTAATCTTTGTTGTTTTGTTATATTTGTTTGCAGCTTATATGTTTCACATATACTTATTGGTTATCCTTTAGAGTATATCTTAGAAGTAGAAATGCTATGAGTTTGTATTTTGTCCCAATTTTCATGACATCACTTGGTATTAAAGTAGTCAATTCAACCACTTATTCATTATTCTTCAATTTTGGATCAAATTATAGTTTGTTTAGTACATTAGGACATTTTGAATATTGTAATTTTCAAAATTAGAGGTGGCTTCTGTGTTTGGTATATCATAGTTTTGAAATCAACCATTTTATTGCTAATATTTCAATATTGTAATTTTTTTCATATGTTTACAGATTGGCAATGGATGGAACGAATTTCGGGAACAGTCAGAGGATTACTGTAACACCCTGTCCCACATCAGAAGTTTGCATGGATGATCTTGGACATATAAAACACCACTACATTGCTATTAAGTAACTTAAACTTAAGCTTTTGGGTATTATTGTTGACCCATATGTTACTTGGGCCAGCAAGTAGTGGGGCGTTATAAAAGGTATCAGAGCCGACCCATGCATGCAATCATGTGGGCCACTTATTCTGGGTTGGCCACAAGCTTGTCGTGGTATTCTAATTGATTATAGACCCTCGCGAGGACGCGAAGATTTATAAGTGAGGGAGTTTGTAACACCCTGTCCCACATTGGAAGTTTGCATGGGTGATCTTGGGCATATAAAGCACTACTACATTGCTACTAAGTAACTTAAACTTAAGCTTTTGGGTATTATTGTCGACCCATAGGTTACTTGGGCCAACAAGTAGTGGAGCGTTACAATTACATTTTGAGTTTTTAGATATATTGTCATAGGATTTTGTAGCTTGGAAGTTTTTTTTGAATCATTATGTACATGTTTGAAGTTTCTGATTGCAAGGAATTTACTAATATTGGATGTTTTGGATATGTTTAATATGCTCCTACTTTTGAATTAAGTTTATAGTTTGGACGCTTAGAACAATGTGTTAATTTTTTTTTTTTTTTTTTTGATTGCACGTGTAGAAATGCTGCACATGAAAAGTTTGGATTTGGATTTGGATTATTTTTTATAGATTTATGAACTGAACAAGGAAATTGTCAAAAAAATAAATAAATAATGAATTTTTTAAGATAGGTTTTTCAATTGTTAATTTACTTTTGGTGACAATCTATTTTGGTTGCTAAAAGTCTAAGTGAAATAGGATATAAAGTTTTAGCAACCAAAAACTTGATTGGTCGCCAAAAGATTTGGCATTCAACAACTAATTTGTTCGTAGCTGAAGGATGTTTTGGTGACGCGTTCATACGTCGCTAAAACCTAACATGGCATCTGTTTGAAGTTACTTTCAGTGACTAAATGTTAATTTATGGCGACGAATTTTTTGGTGTTTGGCAACTAAATTATTAGGTCACTAATTCTTTTATAAGCGCGATCATAGTTTATTTAGTCGCCAAATCATTTAGTGACATGGCTTCAGCGACCCTTTTTTTTAAGTCGCGGATACTTTTAGTGACTAACAAAACTGTTGCTAAAAGTGTAAATTGTTGTAGTGCATCTACTTAACAAAGGTAAGTCATTTTATTTCACTCATAAAAATTCTCACTATGTTATTGATTTGAATCACCACGTAAGTAACATCACATGATACTTATGCCTTTTTTATTTTGCCTCTTCCATTTTAGATAATTACTTTTCTACCATCTTACTTTTTCAAATGTTCTTCTGCTGCCATTATATCACTCAATTTTTCTTAAATTCTGCTTGTTTTAAGTTATGATAATTTATGATATTGTTAACATAAATATCAAAATTAAGTCACTTTAAATAGTCATAATTAAAACAAACACAATAGGTCATAATCACTATTGGAGGCATAACCAAATATCAATTACAACTCAAATAATAACGATAATGGATAATAACTAATACTATAATGAGTCATAACTAAGATTAAAATGAGTCATAATTAAACACTATTTGAGACATATATAACGACCTCTTTGATTATATCCAAACTAAATAAGTTATAACTAACACCATAATAAGTCATAATCAAATTACAACAAACGATACAATTAATTATAACTAAAAACCATAAAAATTATAACTAAGTATATGATATGTCACTTTTTTTATCTATAGACTATTATGTAAGAGGGAGTTTGTCTTGCTACAGTACTTATGGCTCTCTTTTTCTTTTGCCATTTCTGTCCTTTTTGCTTTTTCACTGGAGCACTATATCGTGTTGGACTTACTCGTAAATTGCTATTACATCTTGGACTCTTTCATAAATTGACACCCACAGTGAATATATTTGCTGGTTTGTTTTGCATTTATTTATTTACTCTTACTGTCTATAAACTTCGGTTTAGATGGACTGGATAATGAATATTAGAGTTCAACGGATTGCTAATTCTGAATAAATAGTTTTGGGTTTATTTGATTGGAAATTATATGTATCTCATATTTATTTTATCATGAGAATAGATATTTAGAAATAACTATTTTAATGAATCCCACGTTCAATTAGAAAATTATAAAAAATAATAACTTCTCAAAATATCATTTTACCTTGTTGAATGGTTTACAATGACAATGCTAAATTTAAAGTACATTTTATTTTATTTTAGTAAGACCATTATTAGTTTCATTTAAATGCGATATTAGAAGTATATTTCCATTTATAATTTTGTTAATACAAAAAAAGAAAGAAAAGAGAAGACTATTATATATCTCAAGATTAATTTATACATGTTTAAAAAAAAAAAATCAACATGCTTAAATTTTTTTTTTAAAAAAAATAAAGAAAAAATGTGTTATATATTCTTTTCCTTTTAAATATTTATTTAAATGAGATATTAGAAGTATATTTCCATTTATAATTTTGTTAATACAAAAAAAGAAAGAAAAGAGAAGACTATTATATATCAAGAGATTAATTTATACATGTTTAAAAAAAAAATCAACATGTTTAAAAAAAATTTAAAAAAAATAAAGAAAAAATATGTTATATATTCTTTTCCTTTTAAATATATTGAAAGTATATTTCCTTTTATTATTTTGCTAATACCAAAAGGATAAAAGAAAATAATTATATATTGCGGGATTAATTTATACATATTTAAAAATAATTTAACATATTTTAAAAAATAAAAGAAAGAAATAGTATATATTTGAAGGATCAATTTCATCATTTAACTAGTTAATTCAGAGGTTGATTCATTCCATTCATTTCTATCTCACATCCCATGAAACAGAGTTATTCTACCTGTAAGAGACTATTAATCCGACCTTTATTTTTCTATCCAAACGTTAAACTAATTATTCTATTCAACCTGTAATCCGATCCTATAGTTGTATTCCACCAAACAAACACCCTTTTTTTTGGGGGAGGGGAGGGATTGGATGATAGACCCCTCACTGTCTAATTTGTCTTTCAAAAGGACAAGAATTATATAGATCCTTTCAAAATCCCATAATACTTTAAAACTTGTTTCTTTTACTATACTACCCTCATATATATATAGCAGTTCTCCTGTAAAGTCATTCTCACAATATATTTCAGAGCAAAATTTAACTATGAATCGTAGTTGTAGGAGAGGGTTCAAGAAAGGAGTTGAGAAATTCGAATTCTCTGGAATATGATAAGAGGCTTAGATTCTTCAATAATCTCAACTTAGGAACACAACAACAAAGGAGATGATGGAGATAAGAGATTGGGTGAAGAAGAAGGCAAAATGGCTAGGCTCAAATTAGCCCCTCTTACAGTAGTAAACTTTACTCTGATTCAGAATTATACGATTCAGCGTAAAATTTTACTTTGAATCAGAATAAAGTTTACTAGGATTCAAAGTAAAATTTTACATCGTTAAGCACATATATTACCTTAGGGGTAAATTTTACTCTCATTTTATCAAACAAAAACAGAGCACATACCAAAGTAAAATTTTACTCTCATTCTGTCAAACAAAATCAGAGCACATACCATAGTAAATTTTTTTTCTCATTCTGTCAAACAAAAATAGAGGACATACCAGAGAAAAAAAAAAAGAGAAATAAAGAGATAGAGAGAGCACATATATTACTTTAGATTTGGTTCAAACTAGAGTAAAATTTTATTGTCTGAAAAACAAAGCATGATGAGGAGACAAAGAGAAAAATAGAGAGATAATATAGATTTGAGATGATAGATCTCAAATTTGAGGTCAACAATCTCAAATTTGAAGTCTTGGACGCTAAGGATGACGATGGTGGCATTGAATGGCGCTGGTGGTTGAGATGCTAATGGTGAAACGGTGGTAGACGGTGGTGGTGGTGGTGGTGTAGACGGTGGTAGTGGTGGTGGTGGCGGTGGTGGTGGAGAGAGCTCTTAGAAAGAGATAGAAAGAAATAGCTAAGAGAGAGAGATGACAAATTGATAGAGAAAAAGAGGAAAAAGATAGAGAATGTGTGTGTGAAGGGGTAAATTTGTCATACAAAATATAAATCTGAAAATTTTTGTCATTTATACAAGACTTTATAATTATGGGAGGTTTTGAAAGTATAATTTTTTTTAGTCCTTTTAACAAGAAAAGGAATGTAAGAGGGATTTATGGCTAAATTTCCCTTTTTTTTTAGAACATGAGAAACATTATATTAATAAAAGATAAGAACAATACAAAATCAAGACAATGATCCAAGTTTTTATTTTATTATTTTATTCATTTATATTCTCGCTTGTGTCGAGGAGTTTCGCAGTGCTTCTATTTCTGTTTCTTCACCGATAAAGGTATTATTTGGTACAGCTTATTGTAAGTTAAAAGCTAATAATTAAAAAATCAAAATCAAAAGCACCTCTTCCTTAGTTTCTAAATAATTAATTTTTTTTTAGTTTATTTAAGCTATTTCTACCTAAAAAACTATAAATAAAAATTCTACCAAACAATCTGACACAAATTCTCAAATTAAAATAAGCTATAATCACCCCTTATAATTTATACCAAACACCCCCAAAGAGATGGTGCTCTGAACCTTGGGACTTGTTGCCAGATTATAATAAAAAATAAATAAAAAATAAATCTTGCACAGATCTTTATCACTTTATCATTTGGTTGTTTGTCTTCTTGGTAGAGGTGTAAATCTGGCCTGACTTAGCCCACTCAAGCTCGGGCCGGGCCCATGACGGGCCTCGCAAGCTCCCACCAGAATTCGGCCCGGCCCGGCCCACGGTCCAAAAACTAGGCCCATGTGATATTCAGGCTTTGGGCTGGCCGATGGGCCCGGTATCGGTTCGGCGCGGTGGGCCTGGGCCTAGCCTCAAGCTTGGGCGAGTCTGATCTTTTTTTTTTGTTTTTCTTTAATTTCTTCTATCAAAAATTTATTATTTTTCACTAAAAAAAACATTGGGCCTTGGGCGGGTCAGGCGAGCCGAGACTTAGATCGAGCCTTAAGTGGGTCTTAAGCAGG